ACTTCGATTTGTAGGAGCGTGCACAAGTCATCAGGGCCGGAAGTGCTGCCCCACCAGAAACTATTACATCTATTGACTTCTACACCACACTGTGCAGTTCGCTTTGTGCCATTGATGCAATTTTAATTTTTTTCTCAACAATCACAAGAATTTTTACCCCGAAGCAGACAAATTGTACCACCACCTCCTAGTAAATTTCACTCGATAATTTTTACTATGTTATCTAGGTAAAAATTAGCACGCTACCTATAAAACCTACCTACGTCACTGTTACGTTCCAGTGTTCCTTAGATTTATAAGTAATTTTTACCGCGCATTCTAGACCGATATTTACTATAAAAAATTCTCTCCACGTAGGCAAAACGCGCCAACTGATGTAATCCTGTCCATTTCATTTCCATGATATAATCAATGGTGTGGATTTCTATGACATAAAAAACTTCAACTGCTGCTATTGAAACCAAATAACTCTGTATTTTACGTGTTATTTTGATTCTCAAATATAAATATCAGATTCTCATGAGGCTAGAAAGAAGCAGGTTATAGAAATAGTGATGGACAAACAAGTAGAAATGAAATTAACATTGAATTTATTTGCGTTCGTTCCTATGAGCGGGCAACGACGCCCAGATGGCGATGATCCTTAACGTCTGATTAACTGTGTCCTTTATTTGTCAAGGATGGTCGCTTTGTCCGTGACATCTTACAGCGTGCCAAATTCGAATTGCAAGATAGCTGTTATTCATTTACTTATCCTTAAGGGGGACTGTTTTCTTCATCCTCACCGTGCGCTGTGCCTGCACCCAGGATTCGGTACCCTTCCAGTTCCTTTAAATATAGGATACAATAGAGGACAATAGAATGAATCTTGTATTGCGTGCGAGACCCAGTCTTCTGGTTAACTGATGCAGGGTGAACCTTCGTTGACACCGACAGTGGTGCCATTACCACTACTTTTCTTGCATTGAGGCGGATTCTTTATTAACAGGAGCGTCTTCCGGGAGCCTGGCGGACTATTCCTTGGTTGTATTGGCGATATAATTTTCGTCGAAAGGGACTCTCCCCAGCGCGGTACGGTCCTGACATCGGTCCGTTGCAAACACATTTTTAGGCAGTGATATTGTCGTTCTTTGTAGTAGCGCAGACTACGATAGCTTATAGGTATTATAGATATCTCGTTACCGACTAAGTCCCCTTTTTCTGGGAATCCTTAGAATGTCATAGAGCCAGGTGCTTGATAATCCTTGTGATTTTCCTTCGGCGTGGGTCGGTACATGGTTAAACATAAAATATAGAAATATAAAAAAAAAGAATCTAACTTGCAGCTGGAATATCTTTGTAACGGAAGAGTAGAAAATTTAAGACCACAATATATATAAACACCGTTAAAGTAAAGAAGTCTTACTAGATGTGGAATTATTTATTTCCAGTGTTTCAAGTAATTTCTTGATATATTTATCCAATTTCCTCGGATAGTTATCTGAACCCGATGTGTTCCGCTTCCGTACAAATTCAATGCGCACTTCTCTTCTGTGTCGTTTATTTACTTGCTTAAACATAGTTTATTCCCTTGATTTATTTATGAAACTTTGATTTACTTTCTCAACGCAATAGCGCTTATACGTTATATATATATATATATATTTATATGCTTTAACTTCATAGTATATTATTAATGCAGCATTAGCTACACCAGGTATGAGTCTTGGCGTAATGATTGATGTGGTTACATTGATCAATTTATTCATTTACTTATTCATAGGGCATAAGGGTCATTAGGTTATTACTTATTCGCAGTTCCAAATGTTACAAGTTTATTTATTCATACGTTAAATACATTCGTCAAGAATGTAATCTGTGGTATAGTTGTGCCCTGATGGCAGTTTGAAGCATACATTTTTCCTTGCATATGATTTACTTGAAAATTGGTACTCGAAGGGTTCTGAGGCTGATGATTATGCATCTGAACTAAAAATTGAGAAATTAAAAATGGCGGATTGATTATTGCGGACTGAAAAAATAAAAGTTAAGCTGATTTGCATAAAAATTCATTTTCAGGGATTTTTTAAGGTCGTCGATTATGAATCTGAACTCAATTCACTGAATTTGTAGTAAGTGACTCCAAAAACCTCCGAGTACCGAATTTTGTCCAAGTCAAGTAACTTTTGCATTCTTGTACGTCATATTGGATTCGCCATTTTAAATTCTTGAATTCTGAGTTCAGATTCACAATCAGCGACCTCAAGAACCTGAGTATCAAATTTCATAATAATCGGGATGAAAAACAAATAAAGGAATATTTTTTCCTACGTAGGGTTAATTTAGAACATATTTAGCCATATTGTATCAGCTATTTTCAATTTTAAAGATTTTTACTTCAGATCCCAATTCAACGAACCTTATAACAGCAAGACACCAATTTTCGCTCGATTCAGGTGCAAATTACTGTTTCTTCGTAAAATGGAATATCTTTAACAGGATAAGATATTTATTTTCATATTTGGACTGCACTGTCAAAATACGAGCCCGATATCGCGGTTCGACTATATGTTTAAATGAAAAATCCACGGTATGTTGTTTGAACATTGATCAAAATATAATGACGAACTCGTTAACACTGATAATCACAAAATAGACAATGTCTTTTATAACGTGCAAAACTTAATGAGCATCCCGAAGAATATCACTGGCATGTTTCTTATACCTGTAAGGTAGTGTACGTAGGTACTCGAGCAAGAGGAAATTTTTCATCGACTTCAGTAAAAATTTCGAGAATGCTCTTAGGTAAGAAGAAACGACGCATCGTGATATCATGGCGACCTGGAATGTCAGCGACCCTTCAGGGTCTCCACTTTCTGCTACAACCTTCATCCACCTTCTACTACCACGAACGGTGAATTAATCTCGTAAAAGTGAGGAAGTTTTATCAACCGTCCAGTTTTATTTCTGCAGTCTGTCGTGCAGCTAATAGCTTCATCATCTCTGTCGTAATTGCGTTGCGACGGGCTATAATTAGGCCGCATTCTGCGACCCGACTACATGGAAGCCTGAGCCCCATGTAAACGGTGTCCCAAATCGAAAAGACGAACTTCGTTTCAACGATAAGGTAAATTTCAAAGTGGAGTAAGCCATGGTATGATCTTGTTTCGCTCGAAAATTCACGGAGATGCCAGAAGCTTCCTGCTGTCACAGAGACCCACGTAGATCTATCGGGAGGTATAGAATCCTATGCGATACCTCGTGGAGAAAGCCAGTATTAAACGAGATGCCTGATCGATACTAAGAATGTAAAACGCAAATCAGAACAAGTAACCGGACAAAGCAAGAAGTAAGCGCGTGATAAACAGTGGTAATTTCTTCACGCAGTACTGTTTTTTATAATGTAATGTTCTCCGTCACATCGTAAAGGAAAGGCAGGCAGAAAGTGCTGCGTACGTGCCTGTGAGTCGTGAACAAAGAGACATACAAACTCGAGTTTTCATACGATCCCTCGACAGAACAGTACTCCTGTAGAATCTTAAGTTACATATATTCCGCGAGGCTGTCATTGCATTTGCAATCCTGCAACCAATGTTCAGTGGTACAATACGATAGGGTTCCACATTAAATGATGAACGTGTCGCCAGTTTTTGTGAATCCTAACAAATTGACCTACCTACCATGACAGGAGGAATACTTTATTCGGTTTTTTTCTTTTTCTTTTCGAATAGGAACATGACGAGGAACTACATCCGGCGTATGAATACCTACGCTAGACAGGTATCCATATATCTATATTCATGTAGTTTGAAAATCTACGATTTCGTTTTAGAGTTATTTGAAAATCTTTGGTGCCACGAAGTCGGTGCGCTTCGCTGAATAAGATAATTTGTTTCCTTCCGGATGGGATTCGATGAGAATCCGCCATTGGCAGAGAGAGAGGTAATCAGGCATCGGCGTGATTCCACGTATAACGTCAAGATGTATTATCCATGTTCGGAAGGAAGAGTCATCGCATCCCCCTGTTGGTGGAACACAGGGAGCATAATTTTATTCCTTCTCTTCTTTACGAGAAAGAATTGTATGTAGAAAGGAGTCATTTGCATAAAGAGGGCTGCTCGAGACGACTGGCTCTTTTCATCTTACGTAAAAATAGTATAATAGAGAAAAGGGAGGTAAAGAAAAAAAAAGAGGTGGGACGGGAGAATGCTCGATCGATCCTTTAGAGCGATCCTGTGTTTGTAACGCTATTGAATATTCATAAAGAACCGTTTTGTAGTCCACTCCCACCATAAGTTACTTTCATAGCCTGTTAGTGGATTTAACGTTTTTTTCTACTCCTCCCCTATTTTTTTGAGGTTAACCCGAACATGGAACGACTATTAAATATTTGTAAGGCGCAAGTTGTGTCGTTAGACGATATTGGAATTATGAACATCGTTGCTTTTACTTTTACTTGAGGGTTTGAGGTTAGGTTTGAATCTACACGAGCTTCATATAGGTTCGAAGATTTTTCAAGGGTTCCTGACCTACCGTATTCACTTATATTCTTCATAGTAGACGAGCTGGTTCAAACAAAATTCAGTTTTTTTTTTTTTTTCGGGGAACAATAGGTTCTCGGTTAGCCGTTGTAAAATTAGGGGGAGGTTTCTGGGGTTCCTGGGGTGCCTTGCCATAACCTGACTCTCAGCGGGGATCCTTCTTACGACTTAATCTGCGCTTGACACCCTCCGTTTCTATTTACTCGGCCAAAATAAAGAACTTGAAGTGAAACGAGAAAACGTAAGAGCGGAGATGAGATATTCACGCTTGTCTTACTTCGTTGTAGCCGCGCATTAATTAAGTGTACCTAGAGGTGAGAATACTTGGGAAGAAAATCAGGGAGTGGATGAGGGAAGAAAGAGAGCGAACGAAGAGGCGAGCGAAGGCTTAAAGTTAAGAAGGGGATGGAGCCTGAGAACGAATGAAAAACTTTTAGGAAGATATTCTACTGGATTGAAGATAAGTTTATTTACTTTGTCTCCCGTCGATTTTTCAGATGTCTCCATCCACGCTTTCCGAGGTTGTTTGGCTCTTCGAAGATCCCGTGGGCGCTCGGAGGCTGTAGAAAGTCCAGGACACTCGTACTCTCTTACATAACTTGTGACGATGAATTAATTAATCGTGCTAATTGGATTCAGTCATCTGACTACCCTTTTTCGGTTCATTCAATTTCCATTAACTTTTCCAAACCTCTGTTCGATACGATAATGTTGGCTGTCCCCGTTTCAGTTCTCATTTTATATCCCCCTTACCTTAATCAAGAGAATCTTATCTCGGTTCGTGTCGTTTGTAAATTCGAGGCGCGCTTTTACGCCGATAAATTTAAGTTATAGTTAAGCTTCTTGCCGGGTTATACCTCATTAAGACATCCGGATCTACAATAATAATAATATAATTACTGTTGGTTCAACCTCCACAGCCCCAGCGTTGCAGCATTCGTGTCTATTTATTAAATAAGATGAAGCAGGATCCGAAGCTACGTCACGTGCATTAAGGAGGTCCTGTCGATGCATTCTAGTCAACTGATCAACTACCGAATCAATTCGATAAATCGATTAAAACAAACTGGACTTTCTACGAAATTATTCGCATTAAGTATATACATTTGTTTGTAGATGTTTATCTTTGTGAAATTTGCTCAATTGTACAAATATATTTAAAAATCATACTCTCATTCGATTTTTATTTATTTGTCTATTCGGTCTCTCACGATGAATTTTTAATTTAACTTGCAATTACTCTTTGAAACACCCGGTAAGGTCACTGTTTCATGGTATGTATCGAATTCTGAAGAATTCACGAATCCTTAATACACCATTTTTTGCTTCAAAGTTCACTTTGAATATGTTAATTTCCTATCCAAAGTCGAAATTCAATCTCTGTGACCTTTGGGTCCATATATAAAGATTCGTTTTTAATATTACTTTCCTTAACATTTTCGTCGGTGACCGACCTTCAAATTTTGCAACTGAGTTCAGAATTTTTTAATTTATAACCTACAAAAGTTTCATACGTGAAAATTTAAGTAGGTAGTTTCGACAGGACCTCCTTAACCAATTGAAACTCAAGCGGACATCATTATGTGTTCACTTTAATTATGAAGTTTTCTATGTCTGAACGAATTTTAAAATCGCGCAGTCGATATGGCGGATTTTATATAGATCTACTTTCAATCAAGGATATCGCTATTTTTTTTCTGTCAGATTTCGCTGAACCCTTTGTTATTTTATACGTTTTTAGGACTACTGATTACAAACGGGGAATCGTAATTACGAAAATGTAATATATTTATTTACAAAATTTTCTTTTCACTCCGTAAGTATCATTACACTTCCTTTACAATTCGATTTTCCAAAACCAGAATATATTATTTATGAAGATTGAAAATTATTTTATACATATAAATCTCGAGGATATTATTATAAATTTAAAAAAATAAGTGTTTCAAAATAGATAATAGTTGAGAAGATTATAAAAATATTTGTGTCAACAAAAGTAATTAGTCCTGCTTTATATCCGGTGTATTGGGCTCGTCATTTCGAATATTTTAATTTTAACCATACATTCATAATCAACGATCCTGTAAACATATAGTAACATAGATTTTGGTAAAATCTGAGAGAAAAGAAATAGCGATGTTCGTAATTGAAAATACGTCTGCTACAATTCCATTTGTCGTAAAAACAACGTCGTCTGGCGAATAATTTCGCTACGTTGTCATGTTCTTTCATGCTTTTTCTCTTTTCTTCTTCTCCCTTTTCGATTCTCTTCTTCTCTACCTCCTTCCCAAAATCACGTGAATAAACTTTCAGGCACGAATGGGTCGAACTCTTGATCTTTTATAAAAATCGCCATTTTTTTTTGCTACCGGTTTGTTTAACCCTTTGAGTGTCGCTGACGCATATACATATGCACACATTAAAAACAAAAAAAAGATTTCTGCATTTCGGCTAGTAACTTTAATTGTCACTGGGACAAAGTAATGTGAAAATTGGAAAAACAGTAACGTCTGTTTTGCATGAGATAAAATGGTAACTTGAGGTGATGGTGGGATTTAATGTGTTAATGTGATATATAATTAGCACAGAATTATTCATTGAGCAAACTTTGATATAAAACAGATAATATACTGTATTTTAGATTTATGGAAAATCGTAACTTGGTAGGTATGCCATAAAAACCTACCGTATAATTGGTAGCAGCATTGACTTGTAAATTCAAACATCATTGTAGCATCAGGTTTACGTGTCTGGATTCTAACCATCTCGTACTCCTAAAATTTGTAGTCCGTTCTGGTACAGAGGTTGATCTGGGGAAGTAGAAAAGTTTCTTGATACATTCAAAACAATAAGATCTCTAATATATTGCGAGGTTTACTCTTAACGTTGGTTCTGCCCTCGAAGCGGATATCCATGCGCGAATAAAGGAATTGCAGTCGTAGTATTCGCAAGACACTCTAGAAAATTGCACATTTTAATACATCCCGTTAGCAGTTTGAGAAACCATTGCATCTATTTTTATCCGAGTGACCCTGGCTTGGACAACTAACGTCTCAAAAGAAGACGGTAAATCCGCGACTGAAGGAGTCGACGGTGAGATAGTACCCTATTGGAAGCATCAAGAAAATTCTGTCTGATTATCCGGAAAACGTAATGCGCGCCAATGTAGTTAGCTTTGACTGATATTATTGGACGCTTCTTATGCTAATTCGTTTCGTAGTTTTTTGCGAGGATCGATCTAGTCAGACTCTCGTTTTTACACTGAGGAACGCATGATGGACAAAGCAATGACTTGGGATTTAGAGGTGAAAATTTTTGTTAGTTATTTAAAAAATATTTATTCGCGACCTGCCAATTCGTGATATAATTCTAAAAAGGAAAATATATACTCATATAATTACGTCATAATATGCGCCTTACGTACGTGGAAAAAAAAGGTTGAAAGAAGAGTACAGGGGGTGAGAATTGGCAGCACTGCGGTAACAGGAACGAAGGTTAGGTAGTTACTGGTAGTTATATGGCGATAATTAGCAGATGTGTTAGTGGTTGGAAAAGTAGCCGCAAATATATTTATTTTTACCTGCTGAACTATAGGGTCTCGTTTTAAGGCTATATTCATAGTACAGTAATTTTCATATTGACGGTATGACTATAAGGGACCTATGATTAGTTCAGTTATTATTTCAATTATACCTTATTAAGCCTACGTTTAATCCAAATAGCGCTGTAACTATTTTATTCAGAAACATAAATCATCCACAGGTAATAATATAATGTTAGCCTTTACGCTAAGGACAAATTGGCCAGAATTGGAGGGATAATTGTACATATGTTTCATTGGTATTGAATGTACGTAATTATGGAAAAAGTCAATATTTATTTAACTGACTAACGATGTTTTCTGAGGGTGAATCTGTGTAATATAGGCACACATGGAGTTCCAAACTTCGGGCATTCGGAGTGTATCGCGGCGTTCGAGAGACATCACAGATTTTGAAAATGGCTTTTCTTTAGTTAAAAAATACTCAGTTTCTAAATAACAGTTGATTAAAGATAAACAATGTAAGGGCGATGGCGACGGAAATAATAGGCAGCTACGAGCTCCGATTTTCGATTCCTTGCTTTTGTTTCGTTGGCGCCGCGAAAACAAGCATGGAAACAAAAATCGTGTGTGCTTATTATTTACGTCGCCGCTGCGTTTCCATTGGTTACCTTCAATCGGTTCTCATTCCGAGGCTAAGTATGTGCCAATAAAACGGAAGTCATTTCCAATATCTGTGATGTCTCCGGAACACCAACATACTCTCCGAGGGAGCCAAATTTGGAACACCCTGTACAGGTAAGTTCCACTATAACCTGTTTATACGACTCTTGGGAACGTTAAGTTATTTAGCAAAGGAATTGTCTCCCATTAGCGTGTGAAACATTGTTTTTTTATATGATGATATTGATGAAGTAATTTGGGAGTATCGTGAATTCATCTCCCTTGAGGCTGAGTTCAATAGGCTCTGTAAGCGAACACGAATGGGAAGGATGAAGGTTTGGATGGAAGACATGACTGGATAGGTGAGGGATGTAGTTAGAGGAAGATAACTCCTGGGGCCAGTAAGGGAGTGATAGGGGTTAAAGTAAGACACCGGGAATGAGCAGAAAATGAAGAAAACGGTGAGTCCCCTGTTAAATGATTAAGATGAATTAAGGACGCGCCTACGGTTCTCCCGTGGGCAACCACTCTCCTTCATCAACCCTGTATTAAGCGTACTTCTTCTGCAGTAGACTTCCATCCATTTTGTTATCCCCTAACGAACAATAATAATTATATAAAGTGCCAACTGAATAACTCACTGGATTTTCTCTTCGGGGTGCAGGGAGACAATTCTTTTTCTCTTACTTAAAATAGTCTGGACTAATAGCAGATATCATTGAGAACAACTGCATTTATTCCACTAAACTTTCATCAATCTCTGTTGAAATATTCCAATGCTATTTAAGGGAATTACGAATCTCACGATGGATAAAATTGATATGTACATTTTTTATTGAAATATATTATAATATGGTACAATTGAAATGATACTTTACAAATCACGTTAGTGTCCATATTATATGTATTACCGATAGATTTTCTTTATTTAAAACCAATACACTATTCGTCGTCTCCTTTCCTGACTGTCCCACTTGGCCGATAAATTACGCGACCCAGTGAAACTGGCACGCTCTGTATAGTCAATGACCCGTTTCTACCCGGTCGCGAGGAGTGGCTTTGCCGTTAGCGGATGCAACGAAGTTGGAGTCGTCCTTTTCAGTGACTTTTCATCGTGGAATCATTACTGCCTCTCAAAATCGTTTCGTTTTCTTTATGCAGATCATAGTAAACATTTAGGTCGTTGAATTAATTTTGAATTCGGATCGACGTGATGCTGTTGTTGTCATTTCCATGACATTATACCAATATAACGAATCCAGTTTTACCAAGCGATATTAACCCTACTGGGCGTACCAATAATGGATAGACCGGGGTATATACGGACCCCACTTATATTTTAACATGCTGCTTTTCTTGCGTCTACAATAAAATGGTTTAAACCTCATCATTATTTTCATTATACAGTAAGGAAAATGATACTTCATATTAATCTGAGGTTAAATGCATTTAGGTTGGCGAGAGAGATATTTGAACGATGGAATTTATTCGAAAAATGATGAAATCGACAGCTTCACTTAAGAATTTCTAATTTTTTAATGGATGTATTTCAAAGAAACGAAAAGTACTTTAAAGAAGAGATAACGGACTACCATACTAAAATTTGTAGGACGGGATTTATCGGAAAAATTACAATTATTTGAATATATAAAAATTAACAAATTTTTATAAATGTAGCATGGAATAATGAAAAGAATAATACTATTCCGAATGAGATCTTTTTTTGTTTTCAATTATACATGTCAGACGAAATGATTGGAAATAAATAATTAAGCATTTAAAAATTGATAAACAGAATAATTAAGATATCCATGAAAAGTAGAGATTCGAACAAGCATGATTATTTTTTTTTACTTGTTTTCATTGCAGGTAACATACATTTTTTTGCTATGTAACCAAAACTATGTAATACTCAAAAAAACAAAAATACATCGAGCTTACGGGAACAAGATTTTGTTGGAGTGACAATTTGCAACAAATTTTTAGAATCGAGTGCTCATAAATATTCAAAATATATGTAAATTTGGTCAAAAAAAGTTACCGATACGGAAAACTTCCATTTCAGATGAACCGAAGTTCGTTCGGCCTCCAAGTGAGACTCACATTTGCACTGAACGAAGTAGAACACGGAACTGATCATGCCTGGCACGACTCCTGGATAGTCAAACTGAATTACTGATCTATCCAGATCCAATTCTTATAGATTGTAGGAACGTCATAGAGCGGTGAAGATTGGTTGGAGTCCGTTTGGACACTGGTCTACCCGTGTAAGGTTAAAAGGGCGCAGGAGGGGGCGTAGTGACTTTTCTACGTGTTGGTGGAAATTTTGCACCGAAAAATCGAAGCATAGAGGTCACTCCAGTGACAGTTTCCGATGAAATCTCGGTCCTTGCGAAGGCCGATATTCCAATTATTCTTTAGAAAATCAATAAAATAGACGTAAATATGAATACATTATCTGACGAAGGTATCATGGCCGTCGTCGCAGTCTTTGGCGACTGTGATGTAGCACTTGCCAAATTATTTCACGAAACTGCAGCGGAATAGCAAAAAAAGGGCTGTGCTGGGACTGGAGAATATGTATTAAAAACACATGGTATCACTGCGAACGCTCAACATAAAGCTGAAAGAAAGATTTTTGAGCGCAAATAAGTCGAGTTGTCAACTGGCAGATTTTCCACGGCTTAGTCTTTGCCGCAGTAAACTCTTGTAGTAATCCGTGACGTCACAACTATTCCCAACATGCGTGGGCTGTGGTTGGTGATGCTAAATCCACACAAACTTCACAATGCATTTTTAGTTAGCGGGTGTTTGTACCTAATAGTTGCATTTCCAGATCATTTCTCTTCTCATTTCGCTCCCTGGTCCACAATATTGCGTTTTAAACGTTTAGTACAGATTTTAAGCTAAAAGGCAAAATAGTAGAAACGAATTTTCTTCGCTTCCACATAATATGCCATAGAGAACTACCGAATCAGGGATCTCATAACACTTCTACAGTCTAAGGCATCGTGCAAAATAATGATCAACTACGTCACGCATGTTTTCACGCTTTGCCAGAGTACAAGATAGCATCGGATCAACTAGAAGTTTGCCTAAACGTATCTATTGTGTACTCATAACGTATAACAGGTTAGATCAAATTTGAAAGCTTGGTAAATCTATCCTGGAGAACTGAATGGATCATTACAAATTGATATGAAGTATATATCGTATCAAAAAACCTGCTCTTTAAATTTACTTGATATGGTTTGTGGATACAGAAGACTGTATTACGTAATTGCTTTCGAATACTCTTATATAGTCAGTCCAAGGGTAAAACTTGTTTGTTTCACAGATCAGAAACAAGGAAATCGAAAGAAATATAATATATTTCAGTGCAAAACCATGCGTAACATATATTTTATGCAGAACCACGTGTAAGTTTGTTCGATTATAAAATTTCTAAACAATGAATAATGGTAAATGGCAATACAAGAGTATGAGTATGTTGTGTCTCTAGTCATTTAGTATAATTCATTGGAACGCTGTGCTATATGTCTCCGTGTTGTTCATCGCGATTAAATTCATTCGTCAGCGTGACCTCATATCGGCTTTCTTTACGAGGTGCAATTATCATTCTTTGGCTGGAGGCATCCTCGAAACAGGCGCGAGTAATTTCTCACGGTTAGTTCTCGACTAGGTATATAACTGTATTTATATACTATATATATATTGTATATAAACGAGGACTCGTCCCCGCTTGAATTCACTGTTAGCGTTCCTGACTCACCCTCGACACGTATACCTAGACACCCCGGCTACGCCCGCAAGTTCGAACTTGCAAAGCCGAAGCGATTATAAGTTAGCTTAGAACTGGCTTTAATCGGAGTTGCCATTGCAAAGTGCAGAATAAATACTTAGTGGTTCGCCCTTCTGCTACCGGCAGATAATAACTTCCAATTTTCTTGAAGTCTTGCACATACCTTGCTATTTATCCTTATCCTTATTTCCATCCATCGTCCATACTTTCAGAAGCCACTCTGCACGATAAACTTCTCGACAAGTTCTCCGAGATCTTTCAAGATCTTACTCTTCCTGTCCCATATTGTCTGTGTGGCGTTACTGTATCTGTACTGTTGTAAATAGTCACGTGCGTGGATGTCATCGGTGAATTTGATAGTGGGAGATTTTAAAAATTTCAGTATTCCGTTCACAGGTTTTCAACCGAGTTGAATGGTTAGGTATGCGTATACTTCTTTTCTTTGAGTACAATTCTCAGTAGGATGACACCGGTCGAGATGTCCTGTAATGGGAAGAGCCATGAAACGTACGCTGTAAGTGAAAAATTGAGCTGGCGTAAGGCGGTCATTTTATATGGATAATCGAAGAAAGCTGCTTCGTCGAAGAAGCTCGAGCCTGGCTTATTCCGGCTGATGGATAGGGCTTCCCCAAAAATCCTTCGTACTAGTCCTTCGTCCTTGTCGTTTCGGGTCTCACGGCGAAACGGGAAACTTATGAAAAGTGAAGTTAAGCTCTTTTCGACTATTGTCGTCCTCGTCTTCTTGACGTTAGTAGGCTCATCTTATACCTAGCATTAGAATAGAAGAAAAGCTTTTCAAGGGTGCCGAAGGACCAGGCAAGAACCCCCTTGAAAAAGCCAAGTGTAGTGTTACTACCGACGCATGGATATTCGGGTCCTTCGTTCATTCTTCTTCGTGGACTTGTCCTGACAGGTTGCTCAGATCAGAATGACGTGACTTCTCGCCATAAGTCTTTTTCGGTCAGGGAGGAAACAAAAGAGAAAAAAAGAAGCTTTCCACACAATCACGTAACTTTACCTGACTCTAGCGTGTTTCAGCTAGTTCGTATATCACTGATTTCTTTGCCTAATAATTAAAGTTCCGACCCTTGCCCTCGTATCTGCAAGCGTTGACCTCGTAGAACCTGCATTCTCAAACTGTTAATAGTCATTGCGTGTTAGTGACAACGACCCTCCGGATTGACCTGACATTAATAATCGTTTATGCGAACGTGGTACGGTATGTTCTATATAGACAAAATGACGTAGTCTAGTAACAAGCACTTGGGTATTCTGTCCACGTTTGTACCTGAGTTGAAGTCCAGTTTTGAAAGTGGACTTAATTTACGGGATTTCGTCGGATACAACTTGTATAGTTAGTGACCCAATTGTATAGAATTGTACGTTACTAGTAATAATTGTATAATAAATTGTAACATATGTATATATATATTTTAGTTAAAGTATCTACAAGCTGATTTAGGTATTAGGTACTACAGATGTAAATATATGTATTCATTTGTGTAGTCCCCTTGTATACAGCGAGTATTAGTAGAGACTCGTCCTCCTCCCGCTCAGAAGTTTATCCGAATACTCGAAACTTTTTGCTGTTTCCTGGCGAGCCGCCAATTTTTCGCGGGCGAAATTAGCGCGAGATTTACGAGGTGTTACGGGGCGCCGACGGATTTACGTATTTGTTAGCGCGCTCGTGGAGTTCCCGTTTACCCGCGTCTCGTTTTCGCGACATTTCCGGCAGACAGGACGTCGTGACGCCTCAAAGGCGGAAAAATTCCTTGCAGGCTAATAAGGTGATTTTTAAGCATTTATCCATCTACTTACCTATCTGAAATTTAAACTGAGAGTTATAAAAAGATCCTTCAATATCCATAAAGTACAGGTGGATATACTTATGTACGATGGACTCCAGCAGGAAGTACAGGGAATTTCAAGAGTGGTAAATCACTCGCGATAATTTTCTCATGGTCCGTGTATTGTGGCGTGCATTATGTCATGTAAAGTTCCAAAGGTTCGGTGCTTCCTTCGATCCAAAATATACATATATATATATATATATGTATAGCATAATACCGAGTGGCAAATGAGCACATAAGAAAAGAAATATAAGATTCGCGCGTGAGACAATAAGTGATATAAATGGGCGAGGTGCGTGACGGAGCCACCCGTTGAATTTAATCATAATATATTATCAGGCAGCGTCACTATACGCTGGCTTTGGTTGGGTTAGAGGCAGTAGAAGCTATAAGGTAGTATGCTAGACATGTATAGCATGGTAGATATACATACCTAAGTAGGTTACGAGACTCAATTCTTGATCCGCCTCGAAAAATCCTTCGAGTATGAAAATCCTATTTTCTCCTCGCTTTCCCAATATCGTGAGACAAGAACTGATAATTTACCACTTTACGTCGACGTGATGAATACACTTTGTAATCACGAGAACAAGTACCTTCAATTAAATAATGCGGTAAGATCGCGAGACGCAATTTTCAAATTGTTTACTTAACCGATCGATCTTGCTTAGTAGTCGGATCGCTCTAGAAGCCTATTTCAGGACGCTTTTTTTTATTCAGTCGATAATGTATCGCCCACCCGATGTACGTGTCACATTAAGCCGCCATGTACTTTAGCCGGAAGGATATAGGCTAAGAGGTGTTTGAGTTTGTCGAAAGATTAAGAGCCCTAGTAAAAGTTAGCTGCGTAATTGGGAGATGCTGAAGGGTTCCAATCTTGGTGGGAAGAGGAAGGGAAGCAAAATATTTCAAAAGTGGTAAGATACAAAAACAAGGGATGAGAGAGAATTGTGCGAAAAATCTTTTCCCGTTACTCTTTGTTATCTTTGGCTCGAAGCACGCGATCATAGGTTAGGTAACGTTCGTTAAACGTTGACGTCACGTACCTGGAATCCCAGGACCACTTTGAGACTTCTGACTTCGACGTTCCAGCAGCTTCGAGGTTCATTCGTTTTCGTGAAAAACAAAAGCTATTTTCTCGTCAGCCTCGTGTTCACGGTAATGTGGTTAGTTTTGCATTGGTGCGCCTCCGATGTAAATTTTGCTAATGCATTATGAAAATTATGCAAATTATAGAGATGCTGGCCGCATCAGGTAATATCTATCCCAGTACCCAATAACGAATATATCGTCCATGTAGCTATTTTCTATCTAGTAATCCGATAATCTAGATACGATTAAATTCACAATTTTGAAATTCACCCATATTCCTCCTCCCTTACTCTTCTGATTTACTCTTCGTCCTGTAATGAAATGGTTACTCAAATTCATCCTCGATCTTTATAAATTCTATCAGATCCTCAAAAAGGCATTAGTGG